GTGATACCTGTAGTTAGTTTTATAAAGTGTCACATTGTCTTGGGGGTGTTGTGTTGTATCTTTCGTGGTGGTTTCATGTCGCGGGGTATTGTGCCAGGGGGTGGTGTTTTGGTAAAGTATTCCAGTGTATGATATCGTCTTGCACTCGAGATTATTGGATTGTAGAACAGTTGAGCAGAGACTGGTATCGTAGTCGTATGGTATTGTAATTGTGGGAGGAAATACGTCCAAAACCGGTGCGTTGAAAGCAAAATGGAAAGATGTGTAGAGTTAGGAGTCAAGCACGGCCTAGAGAGCAAAGAATTGCTGCAATTCATTCGAGAACGGGAGCAGGAGGATCGAGAACGGGAGCGAGAAGAGATGGCAGCCGAGAGGGAGGCCAAGCGAGAGGCCTAGCAACACGAGCTCGCTGTTATGGAGCACCAGATCGAAATAGAAAGGGTGAAACATCAGGTGGCGGCGGAGGAAAGTATGATGGAACCCTCAATGGCAACAAGAGCAAATACGGCGAGGGGCGCCAAAATTACCCGTGTTCCAGGATGGGAGAAGACATGGACGCCTATCTGGAGAGGTTTGAGCGGTTTGCCAAGTTGCAGGATTGGAAGGAGTGTACTTGGGCGATCAACTTGAGTGCAATCCTTACAGGAAGGGCGTTAGAGGTATACCCCCGGTTTGCAAGCTTGAAGGGGCCTTATTATAGAGGTACCAGCTGACTGCAGAAGGCTTCTGGAATAAACTCAGTGATAGTAGGGCGGAGGCAGGAGAAAGTCCGGAACAGTTTGTGACAAGACTGGAAGGGTATCTATTACGGTGGGTGGATCTCTCTAACACTCAGCGTACCTTCGACAGGCTCAAAGAGTCGATATTAAAAGAAAGGTTTATTGGGTCATGCGACAAGGGTTTGTCACTGTTTTTAAACGAGAGGACACCTCTGCAGATGGAAGAACTCACTACGTTAGCTGAGAAGTATTTTCAGGCACATGGCAGAAGCCTACATGAGAGTAAAAATGAT